TAAAACCCTCCGATCGCATTTATTTTTTCCTACCTGTTGTTGTTTTTGAATCGATACGTCATCTAGTGTTACAGACAATAGACAGTTTTATCAGATTCTTCTTTTCGCGTCGCCATTTTTAGAATTCACGTGAACATAAGGTCTTAAGTCAACTGCCGCATATCTTTGACACTAAATAAATTTTGTTTCCTGAAATCAGGGCTAATGTATTTTTGTTATCCATATAAGGGGAATCATAAAATGCATTCGGTGAGAAAAACTTCAACAAATTTCTACTATTGACACATATCTACTACAAACCTCGTCAACTCAAATAGATGGTAGCGTGTGCTACGATGGGTAATATAAACGAAATAAGTTGGTTAGTTACCTCCACATTAAGTGAAGCTAATTCTTCATATTTCTACTTTGTTAAAACCTCAGCGAGGTCCAGTAACTGTCAAGGAAAACAACCTCTAAAAGTGTGAAAGTGTATCTTATTACAGCTAATTAGTTACATACGGTAAAATACACAGACGCCTGAATGACAATGACCTGAAAGGACTAAATGGAAGTGCGTTCAAAAACTTGACAAACTTAAAGGAACTGTAAGTGATTCTATCAAAAGTGCATTGGAAAGAATTCCTCGTCCTCGCAAATAATTATATTTAAACTCTTCACTTTGGTTGGCTTTGATTAAACGTATCGTGATCTGTATTATGAGTTTTGATGTAACGTGAAACAGAAACAAATGAATAGAACTAGAAAGGTTCTGAAAAGGATAATCAAATATAAAGTCTTTTGTCGCCAAAGGATGACTAAACTCGCACGAGGCACCCCTTCTAAAAGGCTTGTTACAGACAGGGTCCATCCAAATGTTTTCTGACGCAAAGTACTTTACCACAAAATATTTTTTCTTTCATGGATCAAATTATGCAGTTGTTTGATAAAATTGCTCTCTCAAAATACAGCAGCACTTCCCTTTATTCTCTCCATCCTTTGTTGTTTATTTTTTTTCCTTATCACCCTTTCCATCCAGTGGCTTGACGACAAGTCGGTAATATACTACTTTTATAAAACTAGATCGCATAAAACATATGTCTAGATGTGACACAAAAGATCCTGTTTCTCTACCTCAACACAGGTGGTTGCAAGACAATAACATAACTGAATTGCATCCTGAACTATTTCAAGGTCTAAAAAGTCTGAAAGAACTGTGAGTTATTTTCATACTAAGCTTTCCTCTGAAATTGACCCAATAACTGCCCAAAGTGTCTCAGCGATAATATCAGCGTTAACATCACAACTTATCATTGGTAGTGTAGGTCTGACATGGATTTTGCCAGTCAAATACCCTTCTTTGTCGGTACTTGGAGACACAAGGAAACATTTTCCTATACCAGATTTCCTAATCGTAAACTATGTTTTTTCGTTGTGAAATTAAAATTTCCTATAATGGGAGTATAACAAAAGTACCAGTCTCGCAAAAAAGAAATTTTTGCACACATTCAAATCTCACAGCAATTTTTTTATGGGATATCTTTCTCTGTTTTGAGTCATTCTGGTATTTTCTTAAATCATGACATTGATTATTTCTTTTCAATTCGTTGGAATAATCACAAAGGGAGAGTCTGCGTTTACCAACATTAGACAACAGTGTTAAGTGTGCAAAAAAATTGAAATAGCCAGCTGCCTCTTACCTTTTGCTAGAAATAGACTTATATATATAATTAGCGAGACGAACACAATGACTGATGAAAATGCTCTGTACTATAAGCCACACTTTGTACGCACATGGCTTCACTCAGCCCTTTAAGTATTTTTGATGACCAACATCTGTATTCATTTTAATTTACTTATAAATTTGAGATCGCAGACTTAATGACGATTTAATTTTCCTGTTTTGTCATCATCAGCTATCTGTCAAATAACAAGTTGAAGAGTCTGCCAGACGAACTTTTTAAGAGCCTTTTCAAGCTGATACATCTGTGAGTGAAATGGTTATTTAACAAAGGAGATAATTGGGAAGAACCAAATGATCATTTTTGTGATATTGTTTACAAAAGCACAGCCGTCACGGCTCAAATAAGCTGAGGTTTTCCAGCTTGACTTTGTGAATCTGCCTCGATGAATCTGATTCGATGAGGAACAGAATGCTATTTTATGCAGTTGATGTGCTTTGTTAAGTAATTTTAAGATACTTGGGGTTTTAAATGTTTAAAAGCTCTAATTTTGATAGCAGCCTTAACAAGCACCTTGTTTCTTCTATTTGCTGGATAAAGTATCAGTTTTTAACATATGATAACAATTAACCAACGGATGCGCAAGTTGACAATGATACTAATAATAATAATAGCGATAATCATAGCAATGATGATAAAATAGTAATAGAAACAATAAGAAAAGGGGAAGCCACTACACAAGTAAACTACAGTTTTTGAAAGTTCTTCTCCAAAAGCCACGGCACAAGTAAAATTCTATGAAACACTTTAGCTGATAATTCTATTATTAGAATTATCAGCTATACTGTGGTGATTTTTTCAGGGATTATCAGCTTAACTAGAATTATCAGCTTAGCTGTGGTGATTTTTCAGGGATTTGTCAAACAATGAAATCAGAAATCTGCCACCGCACATCTTCAGAAATATCACAGCGGTAGAATTTCTGTGAGTAAGATTCTCATGGACATAAAAGATTGAAGATTAATTTTTAAGGATTTTCTTCAAAACATCAAATGCGGTAAATATAACAGCTTCCTAGCTTATGACAACTCTAATAATAATCTACTTTTAGATGGCAAACGTTTTTGTCTCCTTTATACGTTGTATATTATGTTGTTGTACTGGAGGATCAAACTACCCCAATAAGTTTGTAATTTGTAACAGGAAATGGATCATAAATCATTTTTCAAATTCAGCTTAAACAACAGACCTTCTTAAGGCGCCTGGGAATAGACTTAGAAGTTTTCGATTTTACCCTTGAGAGCATTATACTTATGTCTGATGTTTTTCTTTGAAGATAAAGGGCTATTTTATTGGGAAAGGAAATGCCATTGCCTCGCCTGAGCTACTGTAGTGACTAAAAAACAGTGTTAAAGATATCACTCCACAGGTACACCTGCGTATATCAGTCTAAGGTTTCCTTGTTTCTTTTTTCAGGAAAATGGACTACAACAAAATTGAGAGGCTTCATGAAGAACAGTTCCAGGGCTTGGTAAATTTGTCCGAACTGTAAGTACACTCAGAGTTAAAAACCTTGTCCCAAGATGATCTGATTCGCAAACCACATAGCCCCTCAATAGCTCTTTCAAGTTTATCAACTCAGTTGATAAAACCAAAATTACAGCATTATTGTAATGTTAACTCCAACATCGCTTAAATGTAATGTGCAACACCCAATTGAGATCACATTATGTTACTAAAACTATGTATTTATCTTTTATTCCTTTCACCTGTTGAAGATATCTCTCGGAGAACGAAATTGAGGCTTTGCCAGATAAAATTTTCGAGGGCGTCAAAAACCTCAATGCTCTGTGAGTACGGTTAATTACAAAGAAAAAAACATGCTAGGATGTTTAAGGTGATGGGGAGAGTATAATAGAAGCATTTAAAATCTGAGATCTTACTTTAAAAATTTGAATATGAAGTAGAATAGACAGTGCAAAAAGAACTGCTTATTTAAACATACTTTTAGTGAGCAAGGGTGGATATTAGTGAAATGCAAACTCACATAGTTGAGAACCAGATAGTTTTACAGCCATTGAATGTAATTTTATGAGGAAAATGACATTTATAAGAAACTTTCTACCTACTAATTGTAAGTGATTATGTTCTTTATTTCAGCGATATCTTCGGCAATGAAATACAAAACGTTTCCATCACGACTTTCAGCTATACTCATAAATTGCGATTTTTGTAAGTTCACGGCAAATTACAGATGCTTATCTAGACAGCAAAACTTTTCTATTCCTTTTTTATTTTTTTGGACGGTTTATTTGAACATTAATATGTACTTATTAACGAGTTCGGTCGAGCCGGAAGGAAAAATGTTTGTCTCAAGAGAGCCAATTATTTCCCACTCCAGCCCGACCTCACTCTGTCGATAAGCATTTTATAATATGACCTCTAACTAATTAAGTTTTAAAATATACCAAAAAGTTTGTTTTAACTTAAATATGACTCAATAGACCAGCGCGCGAGGGAAATCATAAAACAAATTTCGAAGTGAAAACTTTTCCTTTCTTTTTCGTGTCGTTTTTTGAAACAATAGCGAACAACGTTTTTTGAAACAATAGCGAACAATGTCGCCGTGTAAGTACACTAGTGTCGGTCGGCGTTTTCATCTTTCACTATGGTTTTTTTTAGGGATTGCACGAGTGGGACCGGACGGGTCATATGATAACATAAACTCTATTACGTATGATGCACGATCCTCGCAGTAGATAGCGCTATTTAAGCAATAGCGAAAATCAGACCTGAAAAAAGTCCGGCCTGTACGGGACTCGAACCACTGACCTCTGCGATACTAGTGCAGCGCTCTACCAATTGAGCTAACAAGCCAACTGGGAGCAGGCCATCAAATTAATTCGATATNCAAATTTTTTACGCCTGAGGCGTACAAAAAGGAATCAAGAGTAACTCTAAATGTGTGGGTAGAAATGGGTAGAAATGGGGGCAGAGCACGTTTCATGAGGGGGGAGAGGGTGGGGGGCGTCGCTAGTTGAAATAATTATTTCTGATCGATTTTTGATCGATCAAAGCCATGTTCTAGGAGTATTGGCGCAAATTGAAGCCATTTGTCAAACCCTTTTGAATAAGAATGGAGCGGAAATTTGTAAATTATATTATTAAATTATTATCAAAATAGAAAGGAATCAAACTCTGTCTTCAATTTCACTGTAAGATTAATACAAATCTGACTTGTAGAACGATTTTTGTGTAATGAATGTTTGTAAAAGCTTGATAGTGGCTTACTCTCTGTTCGGGGAAGACCAAGTAATTTTTTGTTTTGTTTTATAACATAGAAGAAGCAGACAATGATCAGCAGGGACAGGCTGGAAATGAAGATGCACACGCTATTAACGAAGAGGGTAATAATCAATCAATCAATCAATCAATCAATGAGGTTTATTGTCTTTATGTGAGACATGGTTACCAAGTTGCCCGAGCCAGAGGCTCATGTATAAAGCGTAAGACTATAAAAAAATTATGTTCAGATAATATTATAAATATGGCGATGAAAAGATAAATCATATTTGTATTGTTAATATGGTTGATCAATGTAATTACACATGAAATATACCATCTCTACCTCGGAAATTTTTCGCGTAACAACTTTTCCATTCTTTTTTTGAGTTCATTAGTAATCATGGTTTTCATTTTTTAATTTTTTTTCTCGTAGGAGAACACATTGAAATGCAAGTAATAGAACACCACGATATTCCAGAAGTGGAATCCCTTGAATTGCCTGCTCTGCAACCAGGTCAGTGCTCCATCTGTACGCTTATTTTCAGACAGCACGTCGTAAGTAGACTTTACAACTTGACTTCCTTGGCATGTATATCTAGTTTATTTTAAATCTACCAGAATATTTGCTCTTTCAAATTTAAGTACCTAGAGAAAAACCACGTTATTCCTTTCCTGCTCTGGTACATTCTCTATGTGCGTTTTGAGAGAGAAAAGATTGAAAAGATTTTTCCACATGACATAAAAGTGACTAATTTTAGCGTTATCACTTTTGGAAGAAGAACGCCTAGTTTAACTAGCTGTGTTTTTCTTTAGATACTTTTAAAAATTCTGTTGAAAGTTTTCCTTAAGAACTTTCTACCTCTACTGGTGAGACGCCCCTCCCTTTCCTGTAGCAACCTGTACAGTTTATCACGGGAGAAAGATACCCTCGTCCCACATACGATACGGCTGTTGTAAATGAATGATACGTATATACTGATAAGAGTCATTCTATGTTTTGAGTTTTCAGTTTTGTTATATGATAAATAGCTCTACTTAAAAATATCCCTTTACCATGTCGACAGCGATGGAACAAGCCTGTAGAGGGGATGAAAGTGCATCTTCCTCAGGTATTATTACTTGTTAATTGAAATAAAACTCGCAGTCTTGCAGATGTAAATATGAGCTGTGTAACATAGGAAGTTTCAATCCAGCGAGAAATTAGATAATTCAT